GCTTACTTAATGCGTTAAGCTTACTTTGGGACCGATCTGTTCATGAATGGCTAATGGGGACACTTTGACCCAGGTTCGTGTCGCGCCTTCCTGTTTTGGTTAAATCCTTTGTTTTAATTAACTTATTAATTAAGTCGTCTTTCGGGTTGCGACATATACATTTACATAAACTAATTTGATCTATCTATCTATCTATCTTATATATATATATATATATATATATATATATATATATTATATATATATATAAAGCAATGTATGTGTGGTGTGTGTCTTTTATGCATTACTACACCGTTTGACCGAGTGCAATGATACTTTGGGAAGTTGTTGAGAACAATCCTGGGGAGGATTCTGTGAAAAAAAAAAAAACACCGACAGGGTGCGATTTGGCGCCCCCGCCCTTTCCCATGACGCGTTAAGGCGCCTACGTTCGTTTTAAACAGTGAGATAGATTATGGATAAGATGGGGCATTATAGTCGTTCACTAAATCAGTGTTTCTTCCAGACTTTTTTTTCTCCGGGGGGGGGGGGGGGCACTTGAAATTTTCGGGGGGGGGGGGGGGGCGGTAGACTTTCTTCGGGGGGGGGGGGCAATGTTAAAAGTATATATTTTCTATATAAATTATATAAATTTCATTTCGTTCGGAGGGGCGGTAGAATTTTTTCGGGGGTGGCTTTGCCCCCCCCCCCCCCTCCACCGAGGAGATGCCTGGAAGAAACTGCACTAAATTGAATAAGGCGCATCCGCCGGCGCCCCTGTAGGATGTAATTTGGCGCCGAGACTATCCCTTGAGCTATGGTGCATATGTACGTTTAAAAGAGTGTGATAGAATAGGGTTAAGAAGTAATATTATAGTCGTTCACTAAATTGACTCAGGTGAGTCAGCCCGCGCACCGACAGTGTGCTACTTGCTCCGGGCTATCCTCGAACTTTCTTTTAGCCCCGCGGCAACACGCGGGGACGGGCACGCTAGTGATTTAATAAAATGCGATGCGATGTGAAATTTGAGATAGGGTTTTTTTTAAAGTAGCCTACATCCGCGCCTGAAAATCATTAATTGACAGCTAATGTGTTTAGTCACAACCCCCCCCCCCTCTTTTTTTTCCCTAACCCCTCCAATCCCCCCATAGGCGTAACTGGGGGGGGGGGGGGGGAGCGGATAGAGCCGCCGAAGGGGAGGGAGGCAATCGTAGAAAGGGTTCTAAACGGAATAGAATTTTTTTTTTTAAATAATAATAATAATGCTCATTTTGAGCTGCATTACTGAAGTATGCACAGTCTAAGTTAAGAAAATACAGCCATTTGGCCTTTAAAGGACTTAAGTAACAGTTTTCTACATGAAAACCCTTGACAGTGACTTGTAAAAGACGCCACCGTCCTTTCTAAATTGACGGAATAGGGTGTGTGTGTGTATGGGGGGGGGGGTGTTAAGAAAAACTAAACTACTATAAATGGGGGGGGGGGGCGTAAGATCAATAGTTCACTCCGGGTGCCTGAATCGATCGCCACGTCTCTACCCCCCCCCCCACCCCCCGCCCTCCCCCCCCCCCACCCGCAACCCCCCCACCCCCACTCGCAACCCCCCCCCCCCCACCCCCCCTTTTTTTACAAAAAAAAACTAAAATCAGACTAACTGACGTGTCAGTTTTCCGTTGCGCATCTTTTCGATTACGCGCATCTTTCCTGCCCCTGTCCCCCTCCCTTCCCCCCCCCCCTCCACACACAACCATAGTAACGCCATTGTGTGTGTGTGTGGAAGGGATTCCCGTACACGAAAAATGTGTGATTAGTTCTAATCTGCACGATGTACGCTTGTTTCTGGTATTGACTAAACCTGTCTTATCTTTCTAATCTTTAATTTGTTTAAAAACAATATGGTAGGTAAAACACGTGAATATGTGTTTTAAAATTTAAAATAGCGTCAAGGTTTTTTGTCTGTATATCGTTGTTTTTGTTTGTTGCCTTCTACTTGATCTAGCAATACAAGACAACAAGTCTAATAAATTAGGAAAATTGTAATAATGTTGTACGTTGAGAAAAATAAGAACAATAACAAGTTTAATACATTTGGAAAATTTAAATAATTTTGTGCTTTAAAGAAAAAAAGAAAAATGACAAATCAAATAAATTTGGAACAATTTAATAATCTTGTACATTAATGGGGGAAAAAAGAACATTGACAAGTCTAATAAATTAGGAAAATTGTAATAATTTTGTACATTAAGAAAAAAAATGAACTAAGACTAGACTGGAAAAAAGAGTATCTTCTACGAAAAGTTATGATTTCATAATTTGATATTATGGCTTTTGTACACACTGCCATCAGATGTAGATAGGTATAGTTTTATTTTTAAAAATGTTATGTTTTAACTTACAATGGTGATGGTGGGTCTAGTTGGGTCACTCATACATAACTCCAGGCTTTGGATACTTTGCTACTTTACTGACAAAGGTGCAAAGGACCAAAGATTTTTATACAAGTAAAATGGTAAGATTTAGTTTGAGAAAGTTTTTAAAAATGTAAGTTTATATTAGATTACATCGGCTCACGTCAAATTAATAGAGCATTTGCAACCACTAGCTATTGATTTCGTAATTTATATTTCAAAGGGAAGCAACTCATTTAATATTTTAGTCAAAATCAACTTAGCTGTTGTCTCCCCTTACACAATGAAAAATCAAAAGTGCAAGGGTGTTCCTTTCAGTTGTGAAACTTTAATTTTTTTTTTTGGAGGGGGATGGGATCTGGCTTTTTCACGTTGATTATATTACGTACCAATGTCTACCTTTGGAATTAAAATACCACTTTATAGTAAATAATTAAAGTAAGTAACATTCTCTTTTTAAACTTAGAAGCAGAGTTCACCTGTTTCTGTGACCTCGGCATATGAATGGATATTGTTGTCAGCACAATGTCAAGCCGCCTTAATTTCCCTAGCATGCGTTAGGTACCCATCAGAGCTGGGTGGACTCAGCGACGTTCTTCTGACGTACCCGGGATCCGACAATGAGACTTTCGGACAGTCCAGTGTTCTACCGCTAGGCCACGTCATCCCATAATACTTTATATTTATATCTACATTGATATTTATTTTCTCTATACATTTTTTTTGTAAATTTTATTCCTATTTCGTCCGGTGGACATGCTCACTGATACACTGATCAGAATGTGGGATGTTTTACAGTAACATGCCAAGCACTGGTGTTATCGATTGATTTTTATTCATGTTTTTTCAATAAGCAACTTCTCTTACATTTTTTGGTACCAGCTCTTTTAGTTATAGATCTACTTTATAAATGGAATTTTTTTTTTTTTTTTGGTAAAGTTTACACAAAAGCACAACACGATTGAAAAATCAGGGGATGTGCCTGCAACAAAACTATTATTTTTTTAATCGTCAGGAGTTGTGCTTCTTTTCATTTTTTAAACTGATTATTCCACTTTTGTTATTGGGGCACGACAAAAATGTATCTGAATCGTGAGAATAGCACAGCTATTGTTTCAAAATATGTTAATGCAAGGCTAATTAGAATAACTATTTTTTTAAATTATAGACATTGTAGACTTTTAGTTAATAATGGGTTAAATATTGAAATATAGCGAGCATTTTTTTAAAGCAGCCAGCATAAAATGAGAGTTTAATAAATGTAAAAAAAAATGTGCACTGGTGTCGAGAGCAAGTAGATCTAGATGTAGATCAAGATCTTAGAACTGATTATTAAAAAATATAACCTTAACGGTTAACGTAAGTTGTTTGTTGTTGTTTTATTTTAAGTCGAATCGGCGTTGATCTAGTTAGGCCTTACTGAAGAGCCTCTCTGAACATTGACATTTTGTTATTAATAAAAGCTGCAACTTTATAATTCATATTTTTTAATACATCATTACAAATAATTGAATACAGATAATAATACACAAGTGTACAGTGTACGTTTATTTCATACGTGTGTAAAGACTAAACTATTCTCACAATCATTTGTAGGTCAGCATTATATCCACAACTATTATCCACATGAACCAACCATTAATGGTTATTTTCGATTTTGACGTTACTACATGTACTGTTACTGTGTTAGGCCTAGCTAGAGTGTGTACACTACACTATACTGTGTAGTCTAGTTACTTGTTTACCTCGTAGTATACCCAGAAGTCACAACTACTGCTGGAAAAATGGCATTTGTGTTAACAGTACAAACGAAAGAAATAAAATACTAATTCAATAAGGTAGGGTAAACAAATGCTTTTTAATTTTTAAAGAGCAGAAATTCAGTTCACTAAAAAAAATGTCTAAAAAAACTAGATCTCTAGATCAGATCTAGAATAGATCTAGACCTAGATTCTAGATCAGACTAGATCTAGAATCTAGACTAGTACTAGTAGTACTAGTGCTGGTAATCTATCGTTTTAGGTAGGCCTACGTAAAATCGCAAGCGACTTGTAATGTGAAAAACTGGTGACTCCTTAAATTTTAATAATTATTTCACATTTTGAGGAGGATTTATGTTTTTTTAAAATATACAAATCTCAAATGTTTCCATGTTTCATTTATGTAGGCCCTACGTGTTTTTAAACAATTGAATTAAAACTTTTCAGTAATAAATTTAAAATGAAGACTAGCGATGTTTCCAACAGATGCAACCATGCTAATTTACTACAGCAGCCATCCTGTTTAAGTTTTATTTTTATAAATTTACGAGCCGACCCGCGGCATATCATACGCCGCTATTTAGTTGTTGTTTTTTCTACTTTTCAGTAATTCATAATTTGTGAATTCGACAGTACCAACGCTGCCACTGAAAATATTTCTTTAAAACACTATAAGTAGCTTATAAGGACGATAACCACCCCCCACCCCCCTCCGTTAAAGTAAACTCCACTTAGTTACCCTTCCCCCTACGTTTAAAATAGTTTCAAACTAAATTATCTGCCCCTAATAGTTGTCACTAAACCCGGCTCTGCTTGTAAACATTTAGCGTGAACCACAGCTCACCAGACATGTAGGGGTGGGAGTGTTAGGGAGCACGCTTACAGCTTGTTTTCTAGCGTCTACCAGAAGAGAATTATATATATAGATAGCGTGAGATTCAGGGGGAAGCCACTCTATTTTACAAATGGCTGCTGTTCATATAGCAAATCTTGCTCGCAGACAGTGCTGTTTAAAGTTAATTTCTGGCCTATATTGATATATTTAGCCATTGATTTAGGTTTATTATTCATTTATCTATAATATTTGACACAAACATATCACAATACGTTTTCGTACATTAATAAGCCGCGGGCGATTTTACGTACCCAAAACGATAGATTACCCTAGTGCTACACTTATTAATTATAAGCTTTAGCTTACTATAGTTAGCCTCTTAAGACAGGCTTAAACTTAAGAGTTAAGACTAAGACTGTCACTTTCTTACTCACTAGACTCATTCACTAGAGTTCTAGCTAACTAGATCAGACTAGAAATCTAGATCTAGCTAGATTAATAATTCTAAATCTGGATAGATTCTACAGGTCAGATAGGCCTTTTAGAATCATAGGTTAGAATTTAGAATAGATCTAGATCTAGGTTAGATCTAAAAATATTGTGAAGTACTGAATTGTGATTGTTGAGAATAGTCACATTAGTCTCATAATTCTCATTACATTATTACATGATTATATTACTTTCAATATGAATAGTGTAGTGTAGCAGATAGTGTAATCAACTAATGTCATTAATTTTTAAGACTATAAACTATAAGTAAGACCATTGCTATCTCACATCTGAGATCAGTCTGCAAGATGAAAAACTAATTCTCCTCCACCGCCTTCATTAGTGTCTCACCCAGTATCAGACCTCTCCATTCGATGTTATCTTACCACCATTTCTTTTGCTTGCCTTTTTTTTTTTATGAGGTAGGCTACTTTCCACTAAAAATCCATATTTTTACTAACTAAATTAAAAATATTAATTTCTGGCATCGAAAGGAAAATCATCAATTCCCTTGTCATCTAACATTGAAATAGTAATGAAATTTAGTGAGACTAGTAAGTTTTTCTTTTAGCTCAATAACACAATAAGGATGATGATGTAGACAATAAATATTGTATTAATCAGAACTCATAAATACCATTTCGTTCAATTTTTTATGGAGGGGGTGGTATTAAGGTGATATTTTAAGACTTATTTTTTTACATCCCTACCTTAACCCTGGCTCTAAATGTAGTGTCACGAACACCGACCACAGCACAAACACCACACCAGCAAGAAAATCTTGATATGATAGTGTATGTTTGTAATTTTCAATATTTTCTTTCTTTGTCAAAAAACAATTTGCAATTTTTTTACAATTTGCAAAAAAAAGAATGTTAAGTAAATGCTAAATATAGTTTCTAAAAATTACTTTTTATTATACAAAAGATTGACATCACATTATCTTAGCCTTCATCACACAAAGTAGGACCTTTCTTTTCCCCCACCCCCTCCCTCTTTTCTCCCCCGGAAGTGTGGCAGCATATTTGGTTGACCCCTTGCTGGCATGTATTATAAGGACAGAAAACTATTATTGGGTTCTTTCATGATTATATTTGCTCTGATGTGAGTATGTGAGAGTACTGTCATCTCAGGGTGTTTTTTTCCCATTAGACCTATCACTATAACCTTTAGCCTCAGGGATACTTCTGCCTCTGAGATCTACCTCACAGTGCCGACTTCAGGCCCCAACACTAAGCTCCACCATAAGCCTAATCTTGACCCTATGAAAAGGGATCAGAACTTTTCAAGTGGTTCCCAGAAAAATTCCCAAACAGAAAAATGCGCTAATACCAACCAATTATATTAATACTTTTTCATTGAAAAGTGTTTTATTATGAAACTATGTACATGTGGTCATTCTTTATTAATGTCTATAAGTGCTCGGTTTAAGAAAACAAAAATACCCCTGCTCACTTTTTTTTGGGCAGTTTTCCGTTGCGCATCTTTCCTGTCACCCTTTTCAAGCATTCACTATAAAGCTGGGTTTCACACTGTACTGGTAACATTTACTCTAGGTATTATCAAATGGGGGTTAGTTACACTGGGTAGAGGGTGTAATGTCCTAGACCCAGCACCAGCAGAACAAATGTCAATACTATATCAAGAAGGACGAGGTCAGGATTAGAGCAAGAACTAATAAGCAGAGCTCTCTGCAGCTGCCTTGTTGGCCCGGCGTTGACTGAAGTATGCTCAATATGGCAATAGAATGGTATAGGAAATTTTTAAAGAGGTGGTTATCATTTGTTATTTGGACTCCATAATGAAGTATTGCATGTTTTTAAAAAAACATACACACCTGCTTTGATTCCTAAAATATATCAGCATTTTACTTGCAAACAGTAAATGTTTGTGTAACTGTATACATTGTTAATCAACAAACTGGTAGCAGAGCACACTGAAATTTTAACTAATTACAGTTACTTTTTTCTGTCATCCTAAGATCTTTATGAATCTATAACTTGATTTAAATTGCTGGTGATTCACAGTTAAATAACAGATGTAGATCAGTCAGTGTTGAAATTGCTGGTGATTCACAATTAAATAACAGATGTAGATCAGTCAGTGTTGAAGATAGTGGAGGAATTCATTCATTTCAGAAGACCTGAATAGATTTAGCTACAGCTGGTCTCTTCACATGATAAGATTAACAGACCCTGAACGGTGAACAGGAAAAATTGATTTTTTTTTTCCCAATATATTTGCCCTACTAGAAAGAAAATGGGGGGGGGGGGGGGGCTTTTAAAGTCACTATTGTCGACATTGTACATTTTAAAAATTATGTTTTTGTTTGTCATAAAAATAATTGACTTAGAAATATATACATTTTAAATATTTGGTAGGAAATGTTTTCTTTGGCTCTGGGGAAAAAGGAGTTTTGTAAGCTTGAAGGTATATTTCATTAGCCTAGGTAATTGATTTGTATCTAAGTCAGTTTTGTCTTTCACACTTTTAAATATGTACTACCCAAAACCATGTGAGGATAGTTTTCACATTTAAAAAAAAAAAATTCTTGCTATACTTGCGTAGGCTGAAACAGCTTGTGATACAGATTGCGAAACTACGCAAGCTGTGTACGCATGTCTGTATTGTATTGGATAACTATGACGTAATACTGGGGGCCACTGCCTATTGGCAGATCAATCACTGATTTTTATTGCCATCTACTGCTTTAATAAATGTTGTGGGGAAATTAATTTAGGTTATTCATTTTGCTTTACCTAGCATTAGATAGATTAGATGTGTGTGAAAAGACCAGCTTTCTTGAAACTTCAGGACTTATAATCCGGCTGGGTTGTTTGTTGTTGGTTTGGTTTTCTTATTGATTTCAGGTAAAAAAATTAGTGCTAAAATTGTAAAAACATACCTGTCATAACACTGCTCAAAAACATGTATAGTGTTACAAATGGTGTTAAGAACATAGTTTAAACATGTCTATTTGATCTTAAATTATTAATTTTAGGTGCTTCAAGTCAGAAAACAAGAAGAATGTTACTTTAATCTTAGATTATTAATCTAAGCAGAGTTAGAATATCAACTGTATACCATTTTATCAAATGACGTTATTCCTTTGGTATAATTTATATTTAATTCACTCACTTTGTTGCCAACAAAGTTTTAATTCAACATTCCGTTGTATGAATTGAAATGAGTGTTTTCTGTTGGTATTGTTAGTCTTCTGCTGAATTATTTAAAAAACACTTTGTTTTCATCAACTTATCTTTAATTGTTATCTTAAAACCAAATTCGAACAGATGTTTTTTTTTTAAGCGTTACTAACCCATTTCATAAGAGGTGATGGGTATGCCTATTGTAGAAAACTAGAATGTAACCACATTTCAGGTTATAAAAATATATTTTTCCCACGTTTTCTTTAACTTGCTTTTGCGTCTGTTTGTTTGTTTGTCTTTCCATCGAATCTTGCGATTGAAATTTCTGGCACTTCCCAGTTAGCTAGCGCGCTGAAATTTTCAGGGAAGCTTTGTTTCCAATGACAATACAATATTCAATTATTATTATTACTAAATTGATCCATGGAAAAATTTTATTGATCATTTTAGAGTCCTATTGATTTGTACAAAAAAGGGACATAACCTAGTAATTGTAATTTGATAAAAAACAAGGTTCGGTACTTTCCCTCTTCTGGCTTACTTTTTAGTTCAATCAGAAAACGTGGGTTTTTTAAAAAAAAATTTAATGATAATTTTTATTATGTTTTGTAGGTGCTGGTCTCTGGCAGGTTTTGTGGCTGGTCCCCTGATCTGCTAAGATATGACTGAAGCATTCGTCTCTCTACCGCAACATGCTGGCTGGTTCTCTAAGCTGTTTTAATGAAAACAAAAGGCTGGACTTTTTTTTTGCTGATGACTACGTCTATAATAGAATAAAAGGATGAATTTTTTTTGTTTGAAGACTAGGTGTATAATGAAATAAAAAGCTGGACTTTTGAAATCCTTTCATTCAACTGGTAACAAGACCAAAGTTCTTATAAACTGATCACACTATCGGCTGCTTTGATGTTTTCTTTAGATTTCATTTAGCAAGCTTTGATTTTAGTGTTGTCTGAGGAAACAAAAAACTATTTATGGATATGCCATATGGTTTCTAGTTTTAAAAAGTTGCCTTTAATTTTATTTAAGAAAATAGACATATGAAAACAGATTTTTCAAACACAATTTTTTGGAAGCTGAAGTTATTGAAAGCCTTTTATAAAAATATCTTCACACTTCAACAAGTTGAAAGAAGTCTTACAGTTGAAGAGGAAAGGTCAATTTTAATAGAGTTATATTCAATGAAATACTCAGCAGTGAATTACCAGATTTTTTTAAAAATTGTGAATTCATTGAAGTTGAGTACCAGGTTGTATGTAATTATGAAGAAAAAGATTCTATGAAACTGAAATTAGTGAAGTGCCAGATTCTTTGAAGTTGTGAAATTAGTTAAGTACAAGATTCTATAACAGTGTAATCAGTAAAGTACCAGGTTCTATAAAATTGTGAAATCCATGAAGCACCAGATTCTATGAGGCAAGTTCAACATGAAGAATCAGCTTCTGTAAAATCAGTGAAGCACCAAATTCCATCCATGACATTGTAAACAGCGAATACCTGATCGCCCTGTGTTTATTTTAGCACCCACGTTAAAAAAAAATGTCGTCGACCAATGCACAGCCTGCACCCAGTTACAGCACCCACCAGTCCTGGCCGGTCCAGGACCCCACCCACCAGGGGGTGCTGCAGGGCATACTGGACCTGCATGCGGCGCTCTTTCAGCTGGACAGTGCTGGCACCCGGCTGACAGAGGCCCTGGCGCGTGCCCTGTACAGCACGGCTTATAAGTGCGTGGGCGACGTGCTGACAGACAGGCTGTGTGCCGTGTTCACCATGGCTGCCTCCAACGCCAGTGTGTCGATCCTTAAAGAGATGGAGGCCATGCTGGTGAACTCACAGGCAATGGATAACCAACAGCAGGGGCAGGTGAGAATTTTTTTTTTATGCAATAATTAAACTTTCCTGTGCCAGCATCCCAAAACGCAGACATAAGAATTTATTTATTTTTGTGTGGAATCAATGACCCTTTCTGCACCAGCATCCCCAAAAAAGAGACTGGTAGGATTTAATTTATTTTTGTGTGGGATAATTAAACTTTCCTATGCCAGCATCCCAAAAACAGACATAAGAATTAATTTATTTTTGTGTGGGATAATTAAACTTTTCTAAGCCAGCATCCCAAAAAACAGACATAAGAATTAATTTATTTTGTGTGGAATCATTAACCCTTACTACACCAGCATCCCAAAAAAAGAGGCTGGTAAGATTTAATTTATTTTTGTGTGGAAGCTGTCTGATTTGGTTGGTTGTATAAAAGATGATGCATCTGGTGAAACTAACTTAGATTAGAATTTACTTCAGTCCATGTTTTATGTAGACCTATATTGTGTTTGTTGTATTGACTTGACTTATCCCTTTTTGGCCCCTGGGGAGCAAAGGGCTGCAATCACACCTCTCCATGGGACTAGGTTTTGGGCAGCTCTCCTTATCTGAACCCATGTGAACCCAGCTGCCTTTCCCTCTTCTTCTATCATTCTTCTCCATCTCTTAGCCTGGCCCATTTTTCTTCTTCATTGGGGATTCCAGTGCATAGCATTCTTTGCAATATCATCTTCTTCCCTACTCATGGTATGTCCAATCCATCTCCATTTACGGGGTTTGATGTCCTTATCTATCAGCTGTTTTGTGTTTTGCTACAGGTCTTTATTTGATATTTTGTTTGGCCATCTTATTTTGAGGATCTGTCGTAAACATGCTTGTTGTTTAATTTTAATGTCTATTTGTTTAATGAGTTTGAAAGAACATGTACATTTTTGACACAATTCATTTGGTTTGTTGTTAAGTGGAATAATCCTCCTGTAATTCAGACTCGATTTGATACATCACTTTTTTTCTTGTTAAATTAAAATACCCTCCTTAATTTCAGACCCTGTGTCACATATCACTTTTATTAACCAAGTTAAAGAAACAGTATTTCGCTTTGTGCCATAGCAAAATGGCAGATCTCATCCACTCGTTGTTGTGCCTCAAAGGGGAGGACCTGGCATCAGGGGAGGTCACCAAACTGGTGCTGAAGCTTGGACTGGCCGACGGCTTAGAGCCACCCGCTAAATCAAACTCCAGCCTCCCTAGCACACCCTGGGGCAGCCCTAAGACTAGAAAAGCCAGGCCGGACAACTCTAAAGTACAACCAAGAAGTGGGTTCAGGATTATGTCCCTTTTTGAGAGGAAAACACCGCCAGGGGAGAGTAAGGGTCCGTTGTTTGTTGAAGCAGACTCTAAAGGAGATAAGCAGGAGCTTGTGGGGGAGGGGGTGACCACCACGTCGGATACCACAGATTCTAAGAATGGAAACAGTCAGCCACAGGGTCAGGGAATTTTTACAGGTCAGCAGAATCAAAGGGAGAGCACACGCCCGAATAACTTTATCCAGTTCAAGTCAGTTATAGAAGACACATCTGTAGAGCAAGGATCTTTTGCTTATATGTGTAGGTAGCCTTAGGATGTTGTAGCTTGATTTGTTGTTATGTTAGAGACTCAATGATACTAATGTTATAATAGTAACATTTCTTTAGGTTTTAATTAAAGTAAGTAAAGTACACATTATGGGATGGTGTGGCCTAGCGGTAGAGAGCTAGACTGCTAATCCGAGAGTCTCGAGTTCGAATCAGATTTCAAATCGGTGGAACATCCCTGAGCCCACCCTGGTCTGATGGGTACCTAACTCCTGTCAAGGAAACAAAGGTGGATGGGCATAGTGCTGACCACACTATCGTTCATATGCTGAGGTCTCTGAAGCAGATGAACTCTACTTCTTCTGCCCCATGTGTCTTGGGCACAAACGGGAAATGATGATGATGAAAGTACACATTGATTAATAATGTTTGGTTCACGAATGCAGTTTTAGGTTAATTTATTTTTGTAACCTCTAAAGGGAATGTGTTAAGTCAGGTAATCATTAGAGCTGGGTCGACTCAGATATTCTCTATAAATCCAGTCTTTTCAGTTAACAGTTATTCAGTTAACAACCATACCATCATATAAATTAAAATTTCTAATCACCCTTTCTTGTGATAAAAATATCCATGAAGTGTAAGTTCCATTGCTCTAAAATACATGTATCTGGCACCAGCTTCTAGATCTCAGCTGGCCACTGAGGAAGAGCTGGAGAGTGTGATCAACTTGCTGTCTGGTGTGGGCTGCGGGTCAGTCTCCCCCATGCAAGTTATCCCAGAAATTGTCTCCCCCCAGGGGAGCATGCAGTTGACAGTGCCTCAGATCTACCGCATGCCGAGTCCCTTGTCCGACTCACACCTTGATGATCTTAGAGCCCAGAAATCTCAGGTGAGTGCTTACATGGAGTTTAAAGAACTGTCATATCAGCATGACAGGTAAAAATTGTGTTGACTTAATTTAGCAGATCAACACTCTCTAGAATGTTTTTATTTTCCAGCCAGGAAGATCACTTTTTAACCTAGAAAAATCACCTCAAAAGTCGGTGGTTGTGTATCCCAATTTATCTGGGAAAATTTAGGGGTCGTCTTACTTACTTGGATGTTTGATATTTCTGAAGATATAGTAATAATTCTACAATGGCCTACATTTTATTCTTATTTAAAATGCAAGCCATTGATACTCATACCAAATTGAATTAATGTTAAAATTCAGATGAAATTGTTATGTTTTTTTTTTAAAATAGAATTTAAATTCTGTCTTTGGGTTAAAAAAATTAAAATTTGTATTCAACATTTCAGGTTCACAGAAGATCTGAGGGCTGCCTTGACCTGTCCGCGGTAGGACGCAACCTCTGGCCCAACCAGCAGCAGCAACACCACCGTGCCAGCCTCCCCTCTGTCCAGATATTCTCCGCCACGGGCCAGCGCTCCGGCTTCGACACCCCCTCGCCTGTCCCGTCCTACGTCAGGGATTCCCCGTCCCCAAGCTACACCACCAGCAGAGACCCACCCAGCCCGGGGTATTTTCACGGGGATCCCCCGTCTCCATTCCGCACGCAGTACGCCAATACTTTAGGCGTGGGTCTAGGGAACGTCCGGTCCAGTGTGTTGTCCCCGTTGCAGTGGAGTGCTGGGCCCAACTGTGTGGGTGGTGGAGGGGATGGGAGGCCTGGGTACGAGGCAAGGATCAACCAGTCCGGCACGTGGCCAGTGTACAGTGGGCTTTCTTCTCTGTCTACAGGGTGAGTAAGAATTAGATGATAATCTTTGCAGGTGACATTTTTATCTCCTGCTCAATTTAGTAAGGTAGTGGCAAAAAAATGTAAGATGTTTTTAGTCCTTTCTTTTTTTAGGTAGCTACAATCTTGTTGTAGTCCTTTAGCAGTAGGAGTTAGTAAGTTTTGGTGTAACTGTAATATTTCATTGGAATATTTTAAAAAAAAATAATATATATATATTTATAATATGTAGATGCACAATGAAAACAATTTTTCCGAGGTTTTTTTCCTCTTTAAAAATGCTATTATTTTCATTGGTTATGTTATTTTAGATAAAAGAAGCTTATTGTAAGCCCAAAGCTTCGAATGCTAAGGGTTTTTAGATGATTATACTTACAATAATTGAAACTGGTTGTGTTCCCAGAACTGTTGACCCAGCGTCCAGCTGGTCAGCTGCACAGGACTGTAGTGATCTCAGTGATGATTCCTCCACAGAGGATCAGTTCTTTGCTGTAGGGAAGGATCTCTCACACGTCATTGGTGGAAAGTGAGTGTGTGCTTGAGGGTTAGGCCAGTGTAACACTAGGGATTGGTCAGAGATTTTTAAAGAAAACTTTTTTTTAAAAGTTGGTCCAGCAGGGATTGGTCATCAATAAGAGGTTGGCGAGGTCAGGTTGGTAAAGCTCATGGTTGCTAAACCTAAAAGTCCAGAGTTTGAACCCCCATAGCTGGAGACAGCAACCCATTTAGGAAAGAAAATATCAAACTCAAACAACTTCTGCCTTGTAGTTTGTTCTTTATTGGACAAAGGCTATGGAGGCAAATCCAAAAAGAAAAGCATGCTAAAACATGAGTCAAAGGCCTATATGGCGCATAACAAGCTGACACGTAATACTTTATTGTGTTGGAGGAAATCTACTCCAACATTACAATTAAGAGCGAAGAAGAAATCTTCAACATAGAGAATCTAGTTTAATTCAAACAATTTAAGTGAAAAGAATGGTCCCACATTTAATTTAGAAATTAAGTTAGCATAAATACATGATAGTGGGGAACAAGAAAAACTAGTAAGATATATATATATATTTTAATAAACCAAACCCAAATGTGTTTATTAGGGCGTGAATATTTTTTTCTTTAATAATTTCATTTTGTACCTGTGTTTGACTAAATATTTTTTTTTTTAAATTCAGTATACCTTATAACATTTCTTACATTCTTATGATTGTCATAGGGATATAAGTTTAAACAAAAATGTTATTTCCACAGGGATATAAGTAGTGATGATGACAGGGAAAATGGACAGTCTATGCAATCAAAGGTTAGTATTTTTAAATTTTTTACCCAGTAATATTCAATAAGTCAAACACATTCTTGTGACATTTTTAAATACCTAATGCTCTCTGTAAATAAAAAAAGTTGATTGCAAGTTACCTGAACAATAGGGCTGGTAAGTAGGTCACCAACCATTTCTACGGCTCAATAAAACCTGCATGAGCCATAGAAATGGTTGGTGACCTACTTACCAGCCCTATTTTTTCTTGTCTTTGCTGTAACATTGAAATGTTTGCCAAACTTTGAACTCCAGAGCTCTAGCACCTGGCCACCCCCCTCAGTGAGCAGAGGGTTAACCACGGATTACCTGGAGCCTCCAGAACTCTACAACGTCCACAGGCCCATACAGATGCAGTGGAGTGACCCTCTCTCCTCCAGGTCCGTGTGGGCTAACACTACTCAAGGTAAGGAAATAATCCATCTCTCAGATGTATCATTTGTTTCTAGAATAAAAAGCAATGTTGGTAAAGTAGTTCTTCTAACACTGTCATGTGAGCTTTGTTTCTGTCTCTTTGTTCTGCATTGTCATATCAGAGGGGATTTCCTCCAACACAACTAAGTATTATGTGTCCCCAAGCTGCACCACCAGCAGATACCCTCCAATCCGGGGTATTTTCATGGGGATCCTCCGTTTCCATTCTGCATGCAGTGCCATATGGCGTATGGACTCACTGCTTTTTGTGCTAGATTTGCTTCCTCCATAGACTTAGTCCACCCAAAGATCACTCTGTTTTATTTGGGAGTTTTCTCTCCTGGGTAGGTTGCTGTCCCCAGTAAACAGACCTCATCTGTGTCAGGGACTGAACTCAGAACTTTCAGGCTAGCAATCATGCAACCACACTGTCCCCCTGCATTCATACTTGCATTTGGTGGTGATATTAAACTAGAAATTAAACATATGATACATGGACATTTTCTGATCACTTTCCTTTGTGACAATTTCTAAGGACTACTACAAAAGTGAGACATTTATTCATTCATAAGAATGTTCCGAGTGTGGAAAGGGTTGACAATATCTAAATGCTAGTGTTATGACTGATGTAGAAATATTTGAACCCTATAATGTGGGGAATGTTGACATAACCTTGACTACACCAACATACACCAACTGGTAACTTTAAAATATAATGATCAGTGTTTTAATTTGATCTGCTTTTATAAATTTTAGGTTATTCAAAGTCACTTTTTTTTCAGCAAGCTAACTACTGTAAATGTTATATAGTAAAGATCCCCTTACAAACCTTTGTGTCTATTGTGCAAGTGAAGTAGAGTTAACCTGTTTCTGTGACCTCTGCATATGAAGGGATAGTGTGGTCAGCACTATGCCCAGCCACCTTTACTTTCCCTAACATGATTTAGGCACCCATCAGAGCTGGGTGGACTGAGGAACAGTCTACTGACTGGATCCTGGGTTAGCTGTCTAGCTCTCTACCACTAGGCCACCCTGTTCTTAAATGTTATATATATATTTTTTTTTAAGGATTATTATTTTATTTTCAAGGTTCTATTTTTTTTTTCAGATTTGAATCAGCACAAATCATCTCAAAGCATGCAAGGGTTTGGGGGCGTGCATTAACTCAATAAACAATGAAAACATCATAGATCCTATGGGAAACATTTTCTTTATGCAGGCAATCTATGCAAGAGATCTTGTTTTATTGAAAGTATTAAAACATTTTTTAATGTTTTCCCTTTACTCCAAAATACTACTGAAATGTAGTCATGTTTGATTTAATTAAACTGCATTATTATATTTAAATAGTTAGCTTTCAAACAGTGACCTGTAATGTAGTGTATTACTGCCACGTCAAAGACCTAAGGCCAAATTTTTTTTTGTAGCAATGGCTTTAGTGTTCCCCATGTAATGGGTCTAAATTCTTTTTGTAATTATAATTGTTGATTACTGCAACATTTAATTTATAAACAGAATACCACAAATACTTAATATGTAAGTGCTTATTTAGCTTTAATCACCTTATTTTTTTCTACCTTTTCAAAGCAATAGCAAAACTAGTAAATCACAGCAAACGTTGATATGTTCAGAAACGCTTGAATAATTCTTGTATCAAACTTCATCAAAAGTTCCACCATGCTGTCTTTCAACTCTTCTGTCACGCTGCAGTTTGCTCATGTATAAATTACACATAACACTTAATTTTTATAGATGGTGATATGTTTTATAATTGATAGTAAAATTGAGCTTTAAAAAAAATTAACTAGTCATAAAATAATGAACCCATGCTACTAAAAAAATGCATTGAGAACAGTGAAACTACTGTGACTAGTGAGTAAGAGCAGCAAGTTTTTGCTGATGTATCCCCTATTGTAAAGTATTGACTGACAAGTTTTTCTGTACCATTCTATGGATTTCAGACTTCGCTTTTTACTTCAGTATTTTATGGGGGTTTTTTTTAAGAATTATTTGATAAAGAATATGTTTTGTCATGTGCTTGTATGTCATTTTGGTGGAATAAGGTGCATCATATCTGCTGGGCCAGATGGTGACTGGAAACATGCGCAACAGGAAAACTGCGAACAAGAAAAATGACGTTTTTGTTTTGTAAAGTCAAGCAGTTATAGACAAAAAATGATAACTTTTTCAGGAAATATGACAAATTTAAAGTGTATTACTATTATGGGTTTGTAATTGCGCATTTTTCTGGTTGTGCAGTTATACATTTGCGCACTTTTCTGGGATCCGAGCCAGGTAATCTCTGTCCAGTGGTTAAGTGGGTATAATGAAGCCATGTCTGATTGCACAGAGCCAAATGTTGTATGTATAGTGGAGCCAAATAATATACATCTATCTGGTAGAACCAGATAATGTAAGGATGATGTAGCCTTATGCCTGTCTTTTAATTAAGTCTGTCTATAATGTATGAATGATGCAGCCTTATGTCTGTCTTTTAATCAAGTCTGTCTATAATGTATGAATGATGCAGCCTTATGTCTGTCTTTTAATCAAGTCTGTCTATAATGTATGAATGATGCAGCCTTATGTCTGTCTTTTAATCAAGTCTGTCTATAATGTATGAATGATGCAGCCTTATGTCTGTCTTTTAATCAAGTCTGTCTATAATGTATGAATGATGCAGCCTTATGCCTGCCTTTTAATAAAGTCTATCTGGTTGAACCAGCTAATGTATATGGTGGAGCCATATTCATTGTTTTAATATATTGTCCAAGGTAATATCACCTCTAGGTAAAGTTTGTAAACTGATTTCCATGCAGGTGTAGGCTGTGTTCATGTTTTTTTTTTATTTGTTGTTTTAAAGCATTCAATCATTTTAAGTGGTAGTTTATTTGTTCAGAGACTATTCATTAACTGTATTAATTAAGCCTGGTGCTTTTAATATGTGACAACAATGAAATGAATGGAAGCTGAACCCTTCAGCCCCATGTAGCCAACTTTACTTTTGTGATTTCATGTGCAATCTTTTAATCTGCTCAGGTAGTAATACTTAGTCTTTGGAGACATCAAATGTTTTTTTATACTGTGATTTTTTTTTTTAATTAGTTTTTTTTTTAAATGTAATTTTCACCAAAATTAATTTTGTAATAATGCCTTGCTTCTGTTAGATTTTTTACAAAGTTATTTATTATTTTTTCAAACCAAAAAATACTTTTTTTTACCGCTAAATGAACTGCTTAACTTAATGTAATTGAATCTTGTTTGCTTTATTCATTTTGTTGTTAGTTTTCTTTTTTGACATACAGGGTTGTTAATAAAATTGGGTGATGTTATGATACATACAACATTTAACTGTAATTTCAAAGATTTGTCACATATAATATTTAACTGTAAATTCAAAGATTTAAGAACCATTGCCATTTGTTAATGTGTATTGCAATACAAGTGATTTAAGAATTTTTGTAATATTTAAATTAGTTGCTTTAATTCAGTTAAGAAGTATTGTCATCAAAATTCTTTAATTGAAGTTCAGTCAATTAAAAAACATTGTCATATCTAAAAATTTGTCAGTGGAAGTTCAGTCAATTAAGAAATGTCATATCTAAAACTGTTTACTCTGATGCCTCTTAGTTTTGATCTGTACCAAACTGCCAAAAGATTAAGAACCATCATCAAATTCAAAATTGTGATTTCATTTATTTTTTTTTATTTCACATTCTAAGATATGTTCAAAATGATAGTTACATGAACATTGTGTTTTGTTGTTCAAAATATTGATTGCAGGGTAATATAATTGTAAAATGTGTGTTCATTTTGAAATCTCTCAGAATCAGACTAACCAAACTTTTATTCCTGCTCTTTTATCATGTTATTATTATCTCTCAATGCTAGTGTAAATATTAGCTCTTCGGTTAGCTGGGTGATTTTAGGGTCAGAATTGATCTTGTTTACAATGGTAATGTTAAGCCTTTTTTTGTAGTTAAATATTCTGCTTGTAATTCATTATTTTGCTAATATTTTCTGCTCAATACATCCAGGGTGAGGGGACATGCTAGTTCTGTGTAGTAGTGAGTTATTTCACCACTGTTATTGCTACGATGTTTGCAATGATTGTAGAGGTTGATCTGATTTGTTAGCTTAAAGGCTGATTGTTTGATGTGTTTGGTCTAAAATTGTTTGAACACTGGTACCGTGTGAACTTGATTTGGTGTGTTTGAACTGGTCAACTATATTTGATATAGTTTGAACTGGTGAACTATATTTGATATAGTTTGAACTGGTCAACTATATTTGATATAGTTTGAACTGGTCAACTATATTTGATATAGTTGTAACTGGTCAACTATATTTGATATAGTTTGAACTGGTGAACTATATTTGATATAGTTGTAACTGGTCAACTATATTTGATATAGTTTGAACTGGTCAACTATATTTGATATAGTTGTAACTGGTCAACTATATTTGATATAGTTGTAACTGGTCAACTATATTTGATATAGTTGTAACTGGTCAACTATATTTGATATAGTTGTAACTGGTCAACTATATTTGATATAGTTGTAACTGGTCAACTATATTTGATATAGTTGTAACAGGTCAACTATATTTGATATAGTTGTAACTGGTCAACTATATTTGATATAGTTGTAACTGGTCAACTATATTTGATATAGTTGTAACTAGTCAACTATATTTGATATAGCTGCAAGCATGGTTTGAATTGGTAATATCTTTGGTTTAATCATTTGTTGGACGTGAAGGTTTTCCTTTAGGGAACAGTTTAAGCTCTGTACAAAATTATTTGTAAGTTGGTTTTTTTTTTCAAGGTGAATCTGATTCCATAAACACTAGACGTTTCTTAAAGCTTTCAAGTCCCAGTGTGGCGAGGCAGTAGAGCACACAACTGCTTACCTGATGGGCTAACTTTTTATTGTACGTCCTTAGGTCTATGAGATCTACTCAGCTTTTATGGGTACCTGACTCAAGCTAGAGAAATAAAAAGCTGGCTGGGCATATAACTGACCACACTTTCCCTTCAAATGCTTTGGTCACATTAGAACTCCACTTCACCTGCCCTATTTACCTTAAAGTTGGAACATCTTTTTAATTACTTAAGTGTGCAGCTTGTACAAACTGTACTCAGCCTTTAAATTCTATGCTAGCCTTACCTTCTTGACTGTTAACTTTTCTTCTCTAACCAAGTACCATTACTTTCTTGTGCAATTTAAAGCTCTTCTTGAGATTATTTTCTAAATCTCACTTGTAACTGTTTTAAAAAAATCTTTTCTCAACACTTTGTCTTTTATTATTGCTTACACTATTATGCAGCATTAGTGTATTAAAGTGAGATTGTTGGGTTTTTTTTAACTTCTAAGCTTATAATTAGGGTAGGGTGATGAATAAACGAGAGCGGTTATCAGTCAGCATCTGTTTTGTGCTTTGAAGACGAGTATTATTTGTATAGTAAATATTTTGGATTGAGCGGGCAGGATATAAGAGTGGTAAAATGGATGGATAGCTTTCCTTGTTATTCTGCTGCCATTTTTAAGACATTTGCCTGATACATCAAGCATGTCGTATTTTTGTTTTAAAGCTTTAAACTAATCCTTTTACGGTTGAGTTTTTAATTAAATGTACAAATACTTTTCTGTACAAGTTATTTTAATTGTTCGTTATTGTTGAAATTTTGGTTTATTGAATAATTTCAACACGCTGTACTGGTTGTAGTAAGATTTTTTTTTTAAGAAAGCTATTTTTTGTTCATGGGAAATAATTCAAATTTTTTACTTAATTTCTTTTGTTGCCTCCCTGGACATAGATAAATATGCAATTTTTAAAAAATAGATTTGTCAAATATAGGCCTACAAAAGCCTGAATTTTTTACGTCATCTATAATAAATAGAGTTAATTATAAAATATAATTAAAGGCTACAGAATGTAACCTCCAAAAACTAATTATAAACAATATTATAACACTACAATATGTAATCAAATAGAAGTATTGTATGTTATTTAACCACTACTAGATGTCCCTAAGATCCACAGTATGTCAAATATTCTTATTTAATTTTATTAATTTCATGAATGTGCAATAAATACAATTTTAAAATGTGTTATATTATGCAATTGTCTTATTTCCTTTTAAAATATTTCTTTAAAATTCATTTGTAAGAAAACTCATTTTAAAACGCATCTAATGTACTATAATACATAGATAGTTAAGTAGAACTATCATTTCATTTTATGAGAAAGAAAACCAGATAGTATTTAACTTTATTAACTGTATGAATTAAATGCTCAATTTACATTTCTATAGTAACCACACCTACATAGAGCTGGTGGTTTCACTAATGGCTGGGCCATACTTAACACAAAGTTAGGGTTAGGCTTTGACTGAGAGAATCTATATGT